TGTGTCCACCAGCCTCCATTCCCTGAGAGCACCTCCATAGGCCCCTAGATGTGGGCCAATCCAGAAGCCTGCACTTCAGACCAAAGCTATAGGACAAGCAAAGAGGCCTATTTTTTACAAAGACTGGGGGTGTGATCCCAGCTGCTATCTGTGTAGTGCCCCAGGAGTGGTAGTCTGTCCAGAACAGTCTCTCCAGTTGTCAAAGTCCCTTGGGGCCCAGCAACACAAGCCCCCTTGGCCTCCAGAGCCATCAAGTGGCATCCCTTGGGTGGCAGCCATAAAAACCAGGGTACCAGATATGTGTAGAAGCTCCCCACCAGTGGATACTGCTGCTCTGGAGCACAGCAGAGTGAGCATGAAGATGGCACCCACTGGCTGTAGTGAGGCAGAGAGGGAATGCAAAGATGGCACTCCCCCAAAAAGGACAAAAAAGAAGAAAAAGATGGCACTCATTGGCTTTAGCAAGGGAGAGGGAGAGCACCAAGATGGCTTCCACCAGCCTTCATCCCTGGAGAGTATGCCAGCATGCCCCTGCCTCTGAGACCAATACTTTAAAATTATCAAGAGTCTCCATCACACAAAGACTGGGCTCTTTTCAAAGGCTGCTTCTGCGCTGGGCCCTGGGGCAAGTGGATACACAGGCCAGCCCTTTAAGAACCATTCCTGTGCTAGCCACAGCCCTGCGGGCCTCGTTGGTACGAGCCCCATTGGTTTTCTTTCTTTCTTTCTTTTTTTTTATGTCCATTAAAATTTTACTTATAGTTTTAATTATATAGTATATTATGTACACATAATGTATTCTTATTCTTCTGTCATTACCTTTTTTTTTTAATTTTTTGTTTATTGCAGTAACATTGGTTTATAACATTGTAAAAATTTCAGGTATACATCACTGTACTTCTATTTCTGCATAGATTACATCATGTTCACCACCAAAATACTAATTACAACCCATCACCACACACATGTACCAATCACCAGTAAGGAGATCAAAACAGTAATCACAAACCTCCCCAAAAATAAAAGTCCAGGACCAGACGGCTTCCCTGGTGAATTCTACCAAACATTCAAAGAAGACTTAATACCTATCCTTCTCAAACTCTTCCAAAAAATTGAGGAGGGGGGGAAGCTCCCTAACTCATTCTACGAAGCTGACATTACCCTGATACCAAAACCAGACAAGGACAACACAAAAAAAGAAAATTACAGGCCCATTGGTTTTCAAAGCCAGATGTTTTGGGTGCTTGTCTCTCAAATGCTGGTCTTAAAAGTTGGGATGCCTGATGTAAGGTACAAACCCTTCGCTCCTCAGGGAGAAGCTCCCGATTTTGATTTCTCTCCTAATTGTGGGTCTCTGTGCTGGGGATGGGATTTACGGTAAGACTTGTCTCAGCCTTTTCTGCCCACTTCAATGTGTTTTTTTCTCATTTTCCCAATGTGAAGGTCTCCCTCCACTAGTTTTTAGGGCTTTTTCAGAGGAAATTGTTCCATGTGTAGCTGTAGACTTGGTGTGTCCCTAGGAGGAGGTGAGTTTGAGATCCTACATTGCCATCTTGAACCTGAACACAACAAATTCTTTTAAAGACACAAATTACCAAACTGAATTAAGAAGAAATAGGAAACCTAAGTAATCTTGTATGAATTAAAGGCATTAAATTCACAATCGAAAATATTCCACAAAGAAAACTCCTGGCTCAGATGGATGCATTGGTGAATTCCATCAAGCATTTAAGTACTGACACCAGTCCTACACAAATTCTCAGAGAACAGAGAGGAGGAAGAAATACTTTCCAAATCATTTTATGAAGCTAGTGTTATGCTGATAGCAAAACCAGAACAAAGATATCAAAAGGCAACTTCACACCAATGTCTCATGAATCCTAAAGTAAATAGTAGCAAATTGAATCCAACACAGTCTGACCCAGTAAGTTTTATCTCAGGATGCAAGTTTAGATGAATATATAGACATAAATCTAATATATCATATTAACAGAAGAAAGAACAATAACCATAGGATCGTCTTTGAAAAAGGCATTTTAAAAATTCAACACCCATTTACGACAAAACTCTCTCGGCACACTAAGAGTAAAAGGCCACTTCTTCAATTTGATAAAGGGCATCAATGGAAAACTTACAGCTGATATCATACTTTATGGTGAAAGACTGAATACATTCTACTTAACAGTATACATTAATGCATACATATATTTTTATGGGAAGAAAAATGAGAAATTTTTAACTGTAGTGGTTTCTGGATGGGGACGTGGGTGACTGGGAGATGAAGGCGGTGATGTGACATTTATTTTTGTATATTATTCAGTATAATTTGAATTCTCTTATGTGGAAGAATAATATTTTCAAAAATAAATTACACTAAAACCTCTTACACTTATAAAACACATGACAGATCACCCTCAGATGATGTGTCAGGACTCAGATTCTGACCCTCTACTCGAAGACCAATCGGCTTTTCAAGGAACTATTCTGCCTTAGAATTTCCATTTCTTAAAAAGGTGGGCTAGATTGTACAGACCAATCCTCCCACTGAAAATATCTAAAAATGCCGTGTTAACTACAAAAACCATCTTCTTAAAAGCATCAAAGAGCTGACAAGATACTAATAAATGACCACGTCCCAAAAAGAAGGGAAAGATCCTGCTTGGCCTCCTCAGAGAACTGCATCCTGAGAAACAGAGAAAAGTCTCTGTAAGTTCATTGCCCAGACATGGAGCCCAGCACTTCCAGCTCTGTGCCCCGAGCTCTGGACTTTTTCTACCTATATGTTTCCCTTTTAAAATTTAAACAGAGCTTTTAAATTCTGATTATGGTTTATATGTAGAATGTAGAAGATATGATATAATATATATTCACTGTAGAAAAATTATAAAATGTTAAAAGTTACACATGACAAAGTAAAAATAACTGTAATCCTCACACTTGGAGATATTTTGTTGCATTTCCTCCTAGTCTATTATATATCCTCCTGCTGCTGCCCCAGTGCTGGAACTCTCTCTCTAAGCTGAGGAGCACAGAGCTCAGTGGCCCCAGTCCTGCTCTCTCCAGATGCCATTTCCCAGTCAGTTCACTCTCACTCCACCTGAGAGGGCTGTTTCTCACTTTCTCCTCCCTCCTCAATCCCCTCCACTCCCCACTTTTAAGTGATGAACTTATTTCTTTTTTCATTCAGAAAAAAAGAAGGATTCAGGTTAGAACTGCACCATCATCCCCTCACACCCCACATCCGTACCTGTATCCTCTGCCTTCACAGCAGTGATGATGGATGGTCCTCCTCCTGTCTAAGGCCACCCCTCAGCTTGGACACAGGATAAAGTCCCCTCCATCCCCTGCATCATCAGCGTCCAACTCTCTACTGGCTCATTCATTCCTACATACAAATATGCTGTAATATCTCCCCTTTAAAAAACAAAAACAAATGAAACTGAATAAACCAAAACAAAATCCTCCCATAAAAATCCACCAATCAATCCCATGTCTCCTTCCAACTACTGCTCCATTTCTATGACACTCCTTATAGGACAATTCCTGAGTCCATTCTCTCACTACCATGTTGTCTTTTTATTTTTATCAAATGGATAATGTACATGGTTTAAAAAGTCCAATACTTCTACAAGGCTTGTTATGAAGACAGATGTCCTCTCCCATTTCCTGAATCTCAGAGACCACCTGTATTAGTTCTTTTAGCTGACTCTCCAATTGTTACTTCTATGCTTCTAAATGTCATGCTTATTATACTCCTTTGTTCCTCAGTTTTAGCAAATTGGCTCTTCTTTCACACACCCCCATCCTCCCAACATAATTACTTTACAGTTGTGATAAGCTCAACGTGCAGTGTTTGCATTATTATAACCATGTAAACCTTAGTCACAACTGAGCATTTAGTAGGTTATGACTATTTTTCCTTTCTTGAATCAACTTTTTATGTTCCCTGGAGTTAGTAAATATTTTGTTTCTTCATTTGCCTAGTTTCTGTTGTATTCATCACTAAATCATTCCCTTGCTGCCCCCAGAGTCTAAATGTTCGTGAATATATTTGAGCACATCTGACGTTCTACTAGCTTCCTCTTTGTGAAGATACCTGTCCCACAGCCCTCAGTCCTGCCACACATGGACTGGTTCCCTGGACACCTGGGGCAGGGCTGACATCCCGTATCTCCTTCACCTCATCTTGGGAGCCCTTTGCCTCTCTCTTGTTCTGGTTCCCCTGTTGCCTGGATCCCATTTTTCTCCTTTTTTGGTTTTCTCCGTCATTGTTCCCCATTTTGATAGCAGTATCCTGAGGAAGGGAACATGGAAAATAAAACATTGAAACCCTAAACATCTGAAATGTGTTTAGTAAGGGGCAGCCCTTACTCACATCTTGACTTGGTATAGAACTCTATGTTGGAATATTGTTTCCTCAGAATTTGGAAGGCATTGCTGAAATGTCTTCTAGGCTTCAGGACTATGTTTGTTGCCTCTTGAAGTTTTCAAGGTTTCTTCTTTTCCACCCTCTTTCTGAAATTTCATGATTGTCATGGTGTGGGTCTGTTTCCATCTACTGTACTAAGAACTTGGTTAGGCCATTCAAAATGAAAATTTTTATCTGTAAATCTGAGAAGTTTGCTTGGTTTATTTTTCTCATTTCTTACTCTCCATTTTTTTGAAACTGATATTATTAACGTGTTAGAATCCCTTGATTGATACACTCATATTCTTATATGTCTTCTCTCTTGCTTGCCATGATTTTTCCATCTGTACTACTTAGTGGGAGTATAACTTTAATCTTCCAGTTCATCCACTGAAGTATTCATTTCTATTATCATATTTTTAATTTCCAAGACCGCTTTCTTAATCTATGATTGTACATAATTGTACATAATTGCTTTTTTTTTCATATTCCATATATGTTTTACATCTCTTAGATATTATTGATAATAGTGGTGGGGACCTGTAAGGTTTCTGGTTATCTGCTTTCTTGTCATGATGAACTCTTTCCTCACAGCACTCGGCTCAGTAGTGATTTCATTTACCTTTGTCATTTCTGCTAAATGTCCATCTCTTTCAGGACAATGCAAGCTCCATGTCACCAGGGTCTTATTTTCCTCTTCACTGTATCTTCAGAGTCTAGCTGATCTGGATCCACCAGAGGCCTTGAAATATATGCTGGATGATGGACTCTCCTGTGGTTTTGGCAGTTAAGTCACACTACCCCTTGATGTCCTTCTGAGCTCTGAGCCTAGTGGCCTCGTGTCATGAAACATTCTGGAACACTGAAACAGTTCATTTGCATGGGGTGCAGAGTCATCCTAACACCAACATTGGCCAGGGAAACCAATGGAAGACGAGTCAACAAAGCTTTGAGAGAAACTCCCTAGGTTTCACCGTGGCTCCTCCACCTCCTAAACCTCTCTGAGTCTCCCTATTCCTGTTCATACAAAGGATCACATGTTGGGAGCCTCGTGAGTTTGCTTTGAGGATTAAATTTGGCCCTCTATGTAAATGATGGCATCATTGCCTGATAGCATTTAGATAAGTTCCATTCTTTTGCTTGTATAAACCACAATTCAAGAAACATCCTTGAACACATATTTTTGAGAACATGTATGATTATCTTCTTAGGATAAATTCCTGAAAGAGAAATTTCTGCATCAAAATGTAAGCACACCTAAATTGCTGTGGTGTTTTGCAAAAGTGCCATTTAGAAGTCTCATATTCCTTTTCTGTGCTTCAGAGCTGAAGAAAGCCTAACACTTTATTAACATTTAATGTAATCATTAATTCTAGTATTTTTTCCTTCAAGTTTTCATACTTCAGGATAGAGATGCGCAAAAGACTCTGGGCTTTAGAAAATTTTCTCTGAGTGATTAAGAAAGTCAGCTTTGTGCTTGGCACACTTAAAAATAATTTTATATTATATAATCTTTTGGTAACAATATTTAGACCATGTCCAGGGAATCTAATATTCAATTACTAAATTGTGTCCTCTTTACTACTTATTTTGTAACCTTATAATAGGGTGAGAGTAAATACAAATTGATAAAGTGCTAAGAAGAGGGGAAAAAAAGAAATTTTGTATTCCAGTTTTCAATTCCATCAAGCTTTAAGACAGTATATTTTCCCATAGTCTGGTCAATTTCCTCATCATTTCCTTTCATCTTTGCCAAGCTGATAGATTTTCATTTTTATTCCCATTTCTTATTCCACATTCTCATTTTTGTTTACGTTTATTGCCAATATATTTGTTTGACATTTGCATTTCTTCTTTTCCAATTTGCTTTCAATATATTTAATTACTTTCTGATTGAGATGTGCATATTTAAAAATATTGAATTTAAGAAAGAAGAAAAGCAGCTCCTGACATCCGGGAACTGGTCTGACGCTTAAAACTAGACATCAGTGCCGTCAAAACACAGCCTGGTGCTCACAGCTAAGCTATGTTGTTCTCCTGCTGGACAAACCATCTTATAAAACACTCACATCAGACAAGGACACTCTGAGACCATGACAAAACGAAACAAAACAAGACCACTACATCATTTTATTTAAGCACAGACAAAAACGAGACACCGTGCAACTCACAAAATACCAAACATCTCCCTGTGCTGGCTCATATGAGCGACTGCTGCTTCTTTCCAGCTAGAGTTTTGTCCTTGCTCTAATCAGCCCTGTCTACAGACAAGATTTATTGAGATGCCCAGTCATAGAATTACTCCCATTTCCAGACAATATCCAATCTAGAGTGAGCCCCTGCTTCCACTGATCTTCCCCAAAATCACCCAACCAAAGCCCAAATCCTGTAATATATTCTTTCTAACAGCCTCATCCTAAGACGCCACACAGTTTCGCATGGTGCATGCTCCCCTCTCTACATTGAGTAATAAACCCAAAGTGTTCAACTACAGGTATGTTCCTGGTGGGCTTGACTCGAGCATATTGACACATGTTACCCTTTTCTCTGTCAAATTTTTGTGTGTTTTTTAATTTGATTATGGGCATGTATTTGAATATCTGTGAGTTTGTGGTTGACAGAGAAATTTTATTTTTTCTTTATGGTTTCTCATCTTTCAGTCATGCTTAGAGAATCCTTCTTTAATCCACAACTGTAAAAGTTTCATGTATATTTTCATCTGGGTAGAGATAATGAGGAGAGAGAGGGCTGAGGGTGAAAGAAAACAGAATTGTTTGAATTTAGGGAAATGTGATGGGGGAGTGGGGAGCAATAGCCAAAGAATTCTAAGAATTCTAAGATGGTAGAATTCTAAGGTTTAAATCTTTTGCTTATATTTTAAAAATATGTCTAAAGGGCCTACATCCCTGTCTTACCTTCATGTTGCATGAGGTGCAAATTCTTACCTCTCTATTAAAAAAAATAATCTGAATATAAACTTTTCTCAAATTCTTGTCATAAGATGGTATTGGTGGGTTAATAAAGGAAAGAGTCTTAAAACTTGAGAGAGGAAATAAAACCTGAGAACCTTCCAGAATCTGCATGTTTGCTGTGCTGTCTGTTGCAGGTGGGGACAGGAGAAGGTTCTGAGCAGCCCAACATGGATGGGGCCTGTGCCCAGTCGGTGCTCAGTGCATCATGGGCTTTTATGTGGTCACTCCTCTGCTGGGTCATCTCTCTGTTCTTTTGTCCTTGTCCCTTCAGTAGAACCTTGTCACACCAGGACCTGTGATCACAGGGACTCGGGTATCACCTGGGTCTTGTAGTGTCTCCAAGACTGTGGGCAGCGGGGGCTTCATGTGGCCAGGTCAGCCTAGGCTCAGGCTTGGGTCTGGCCCTCAGCCTCCATCTTTTGTGCATTTATTTGTTGTTTGTTTGTTTCTGTAGGAGGGTGTGCCTATTCTTGTTCTTGTGTGTGAGTTCGAGTCTCATTCTCCTCTGGGTGTCCCCGTCTCTGACAGCAGCAGGAGTCATCTTGCCTGTCATTGTCCCCACGAGGCCCATGGTGGCACTGCATGCAGGAGACCCTGTGGTATTGAGAGATATGTTTTCAGACTGTTCAGCTCTTTCCCTCTTTCTAGGGCTGTATCCTGGATTGTTCTTTCCATCTTTTCCCCAACCTTTTTAAGGAAACAGATTCTGAAATTAGCAGAGAGGAGAGATCTGATAGTTTACCATCTTGGATAAATTCCTGTTAGATTTCTATCTTCTCTACTCTCCTACCCTCTTTCCCTGCCCTTAGCTCTAATAATCCGAGTGCTGGCTCCAATCCAAACTCAAAGACTTATAAAGCAGAGTCTCATTTAGATTTATATTCAGTTGGAAAATAGGGCACATAAATCAAGGATTATTGTTTTCTGAGGAGAGAAATATAATGATTCACAGTGTGCAGGAGGGTTGTGGGAGAGATGGATGGAGGGAGGGGAGAGCAGCACTTGTGAGAAAAGTACAGGCAGTATTGATGGCAATGTGAGCGGATGTTGTTCTGTGGTTGCCACAAAATAACATTTGATCTGAGGCTACATTAATAAAGATACTGTCTCTAGAACAAGGAGATGCTCTACAATGATGATTCATTCAACCAATATTTTTTGAGTACTGGCTATATGACACACAATTTTTGCATCTAGAATACATCAGTGAACTACAAACAGGTGAAAATTGCTGGCCTTGTGGAGCATATATTCTACTGGGAAGGGGAAGACTATATACTCTAAGCATAGTGAATGAGAGAAGGGTTTATATTAGAAGGTGGTAAGTGCTATGGAGAAGGTGATCCTGAGTGTGAGTGTGTGTGGAAAGGGGAGATGACTATTTTACTAGCATGGTCAGCATTGGCTTCATTGAGAAGGTGGCCTTTGAAAGATTTGAAGGACATGAGGAATTATCCACGAGGATATCTGGATCAAGTTCTTCCAGGCAGGCGGAACCTCCAGTGCAGATGCACTAGGGTAGGAGTGTGTCTGTGTGTTCTTGAAACAGCCAGGAGGTCGGTGTGGCTGGAGCAGAATATAATTAACTGAGGTAGAGGAATGGGCAGATCATGGTGGCTGGAGTTATGTTGGAAGAGTTTTGGCTTTGAGTAAAACAGTTTTGAGCAGACAGACAAAGTACGACTTCCCTTTTAAATGGATCAATCTAGCTGCTGTGCTGAGAATAGAATTAAGAGACAAGAGACAAACGAGGCAGTAGGAAAAAGTGTAGGAAATTTTTGCAGTGTTCCATACTAGAGATGTTGGTTGTTTTGACTGAGGTATTAGTGGTGAAAATAGTGGGAAATGATTTGATTCCAGATACATTTTGAAGCATTTGCAGCATTTCCTAGTGGATTAAATGTATTGTATGAGAAAGAAGAGTCAAGAAGGACACCAAAAATTTTGGACTGTGCAAGTAGAAAGATGGAGTTGCAGTCAGCAAAGATGGGGAAGACTCTGGAAGGAGCATATTTGAGGAGGGGGCATCACAGGCATTCAGTTTAAGAGATGTTAAAGAGGAGAAGTCTGTTAGCAATACAAGTGAGGTGTTAGGTTGGCAGTTAAACAGATTAGTCTAGAGACATTTAGGAGAAATGTCTGGGCTGGAGAAATAGACTTGGGAGGTGATGGCATAAAAATGACATTTAAAGCCTTGAGAAAGGATGAGGTCACCAAGGAAGTGATGACTATAGAATAGAAAGGAAAAAGGACTGAACCCTGGACCCCCCAGGGCTAAGGGATCTGATCAGACAACACCCAGGGCAGACTGCACAGTTGTGACACCACATCTAGAAGTCTCAGAGCCCAGGGAGTCTCAAACTTTCCTGTGCACAGGAATCCCCTGGACGTTTCGTCAAGATTCAGAAAGTCTGGAGTAGACCCTGAGATTCTGGATTCATAACAAGATGATGATGCTGCTGGTCTTCAGATCACACATTCAGTAGCAAGAACACAGACCAGGATTCCCACATGGCTGTGCATCAGCCTCACCTGTAGCTTGTTACATAAGTGATACACGAACTCCATGCCCAACATTCTGACAGCAGTCTTGGGGAGAGCCCTGCGTATTTTGTAACAAGCTCACAAGCCATCCTGGTCTTGGCAAGATTTTCAACCACAAGTCAGTGATCAGAAGGCACCCAGGGCGGGAGGGGCCTTAAATCCACCTTTAAATGTCGTTTTATCCTGGGAAAGAAAAGGGAGTTCACATGAGACAATTATGAGACATGAAGGTAGGCGATACATGCTGTTTTCTCTGTCATGGCGTATAGCCAGGCCAAAGATTTAGGAAGTTGCTCTCAGTTCAGCATAACGAAAATCTCTGAATGTTTGCTCTCTAAAACTATTCCCCAAACTAATTTCTCACTTACTTCTTGGATCAAACAATGGAATCCAAATGTTTCTAATTTAAACATAAAAGGATTTATACAAGTTTTGTCAGAGGCTCATTATATTTGAGGGAAGGCCACAGAACCAGGCGTGAGGTCAGGTCCCACATAGGAACCACTGCCCCTGCAGCTGGACACAGATGTCACTGTTCACACCACTGACACCTTGATGCTGGACACTGGACCCTGAGGCTAGGACTGCTATCACTGCTGCTCCTGGCAACTGGCCATTGTTACTGGCACTCATGCCACAAATTGCCAAATGCATTCTGCATAGTCCTAGCTTCTCTGTGTCACCACGTCCTGAGTCAGAGTCCAGATAAGGTCATCTGACTGGTGGAGCCAAAGCCTCATGCTGTGTCCAACTACAGCAATGTTGAAGAAAGCAAATGTTCCTCTTTTACAGAAGGAGGTGGTCTCTGCCTCTTACAAAGACTCTTTGTGAGATTTTCCTAATGTAAGAAGCAAGTCCAGATGCTGGGGGTAGGGGAGTGAGGCATGGAAAAAGAATGACAAATTTCAATTCTTGGAGCAGTGGTCTGAGACCAGAACTTGATCTGGTATACTATAGGTACTCGGGTTTGGTTGCATAAATGAGTGACTAATAAATGACATCTTTCAACTTATTCCCCTGATAGTTTGTTTTGGGGTCCAGCTTTTGTCTACTCCAGTTTATACTCTCAGATAAGTGGAGTGAGATGGTGAAATGGTTACTCAGTGTCTTCTCCCTACCTCTGTCTCTTGCTAGGATTAAAACACCCAAGTCCTTAAGACTTCAGAGGATCTGTGTATACACTGACATTTTATATTAATTTTTATATTTCTTTGTAGTTGCACATATTTCTAGGGAGAGTATCCACAACATTCATCATTTTTATGTGACACCCACAAAAGCCTAAACAAAAATCCTACTTTAGACACCATGCTACTTAAACTCTGGCCTGTGAACAGCTGACAACCAGAGTGTTTTTAGCAGACCTGAGGACACAATATAAGTGCTCACCTTTTGCCTTGCTGTTATCAGTCTGGGATAAGATAAGAGAGAGGTTCACTTGCTTACTCTCACTCTCAATTTCTGTACGTATCTTAATGTGGGCTGATAACAGTCCTCAGACCAGTGCTGGCCGACAGACCACGCTCAGAGTTGCGTTGGTCTAAATGAACTTGTATTCCAGCATTTACCCTGGTGTCAGAATAAGAGCAGGCATAATTCACTGATTAATGGGGATACTATTTCTGGTAATATAGTGGACTAAGATATAAAGCTGCCTCTCCCAATAAAAACAATTAATAAAATATAAAAAGCATCCAAAAGTATAAAAGAACAAGCAAGAGAACAATCCTTTAGGCCAAAAAATAAATGTGGGCAGGAATTCAGAGACAAAAATTGCTATTATCCTGAAGGCATTAGCCAAATCAAAAACTGTTAGCTTTGACTTTTCCGAGCTCACAGTCTATAGTAGACAGGATACACCCTCACAGGTTGTTTGTATGGGAAGTATAAAAGGAGACACTCTCACACTCTGGAAAATCTAGGAAACTAAAGATACATTTCCTCAGAGTAAGGGTGATGAAACAAAACAAAATCTGTTTCATCCCCCAACACAGGAGTATTTTGAGGAAATCTGACTTTGAGTCAGCAAAAAACAAACAACTGTTTTTGTGAATTTGTAACCACAAGCCAGCCTTCCTATGTATTTGTTGTCCAACTTTGCTTTACTATTTTGGGCCAAGATAACCACTAGCCATGATTTTGTTTTATAATTGTGCTGGGTTGGCGGTGACTCAAAAACTGGAAGAAGAAAACAAAAATCTATAGAGAAACCTATATTTAACCTACGTGTCAAATGATTCACACAAATAATTGCACAAGAAAAAAGAGCAGCTCAGAGCAAGAGATGCATAAGTACAAGTGGAAAAAAGTCAATATGATCAAGAACCACAAGAAACAGTAGATGGTAAAAAGAAGCTCCTAGAACTTCAATGTTGGAATTATGAAACATAGAAAATAAAATACTCGGGATTATTGTGTATAAAGAGAAAAACGACAAGCTTGAAAATGCCATGATGGGGTATCAAGGACCAGATTTACTCTCCCTCCTTAAACACTACAAATTCAGATAAGATATGAAACAATGATATTCAGACATTGGACAGGAGAGAGCAAAAGTACTGTGATCTCTAAGAGAAGGGAAATAAAAGAAGGGAAGCCTAGAATTGTCCAGCTTTCTTCCTGGAGAGAGTTTCCAGGACACAGTGCAGGAAGGAGGAGCCCTAACAGAGCTCAGCAATCTCACTGAGTTGAGGGGACTGAGTTGTCAACTGGGGAGGCCAGGACAGCCAATCAAAGGTGAAGGCACATAGAGAAGAGAGCTGGACAGAAAAGGCACTGGACGTCTGCTGAGGCTTCCCCTCAAGTCTTCAGCTCTTCAGTGCATGGATGTAAGGAAACTATCCAAGGCAGAGAAAGAATAATGCAAAAGGATAACATACATAGTACACAGTGCTCCACAGAAGTGAGAATAGTGCCCACTCTGAGCCAGTCTGGGAAACTCATAATTCGTTGGGCATTGGATAGAGTATTCAGAAGGGTCTTGTGTCAGCATTTGGCAATAATTAGCCCTGGACTAAATACATTCCAGTTTTGCGTAAAAAAT